CCTATGGCTTGAATTATTATATTGTTGAAAATGATCGCTGTAAATGCTGAAAAGGAGTCAACTCCTTCACGTTAATCCTTCTCCTCCAAGTTTCACAAACCAAAGTATACATCATAAATTATAAATTTGCTCCCAAAATGTTTTATCCAACCCAACGAACCGAATTGTTTTGCCTGTTTAGCTGTAAATTTGACGCCACTCAAGAGATTATTCATAAACACTTGCGCCAATAATGATAATAAACCGGCAGACAATCTCGTAGTCTTGGACATTTCCTCCTGTTACCACGCTGAAATTAATTTCCCGGGGTTTTGCAATCGAATGATTTTGCTCGGAATAAAACATAAACTCGCGCCCATTTATTCGTTTCCATTCAAAGGGAGGGTGACTTAAATAGCATGACACAATCACTGAATCCGCATAAAATACTTCAGGACGTTACTTTGCTAAATTTTTTGAAACGCACCCCGAATAAGGAAGGAACAAATTTATTGCAAGCGAAGTATACACTTTATTTACTGAAGCATTCATAACCTCTCCAACCTCTCTCAATTTTAAAACGTTTTTATCACATGCAAATATATTTCGCAGTATGCCCATGATAGAATGTCCAATATCTCTCATTCTCCAGCGGTAAATAACTGGATAACATAAGTGTCTGAGAGAAAAACTAAAAATTATTCAATGGTGGGCCACTGAAGCGACGTAGTCCAAAATTTATCCGGACAGCAAGAGAAGAATATATTGGTAAATAGCAAAGTATGAATACAAAATATAGATAGAGTACGCTCACCGCAGATTTTCTCAGCTTCATTGCATTCTCTAATTCACTATTCGATTTCGGTGCCGCTCGTTGTGCTTGCAAAGCTTGAATTTGGTTTACATGGCGTCGTAAAGCGAAATACAGTTTGGAACGTATAATTGTTATGCAAATAAAACAAATATTCCAAATTAGGAGGAGTAAAACTTGGATCCAATTAAAGTAACTGCTGAAATAAAAATATTTAACACCCATAGCAAAATTGCCACTCCGGCGACGCGCCTGGACGTCACAAGCTCTTGATATCTGAGATGAAGTTGAACAGCCAGGAATCTGTCCACAATCAGAGCCATGACACCGAGGAACGAAGTGTTAGAAAGTACATACAAAATTCCCTTGAATAACTTGACGAATGGAAATGGTAGAAATGGGCTCTAGTACCCTGAAATCTCCAATGCAATAAATAATGGCTGAGCTATTAAACCAACTACAAGATCAGAGACAGCGAGACTCAGCATCAATGCTTTTAAAGGCTTCGGTAACAACGAAGCCTTTTTCATGACATAGATTGTGAAACTGTTCAAAATGATGGCTATAGGGGCTGATAATAGGTTCAAGACAAGATTAACGATGCTCGCACCCTTCAGGTTGATTGTACTTTTATGCACTCCCATCCCAAACACTCTGTTTCGTACGAAGTGTGCTTGCCGATCACCCGGTGGGAGGCTACCGATGGCCTAATTTAAAAGGCCGGTGGTCAAAATGCTTTATCAATAAAATCCACGCTACAGTCCTAGTTTTCTCCTAATATTTTCATTCAAATTGGCACAAAACTTTCGCGTTTCTTTTCTGAAATGTACGTCAATTTCTGAAATTTCATAATCTCTTATTTCATGAAATGAGTCCTTACTTTACATATTGGAATTGTCGTTTAGCTTAGGTGTATGCATACCACATCTCAGGTTTCAAAACAGTTTTCTAGAATCATATTAAGATTATCTATTTAAACAGTGACCTGTGGAGGTGCCAGTTTGGAATATTTATCATATGTCATTCACACAAATTAAGCGGCTCTTTTCTTGCAATTTTTTTTTGAGAAAAGTGAAATGAGGCCTTACCCTTACTTTAGTCCTGAGTTTCTAAGTACTATCTAAGTTATTTTCAAGGTAAAGAATTTTTTTTCAACGCAAACACCTGAAGTATTACTACTACTTCCTCTACCAGGTGGCATTGACACAAAGGGATTTAATTACGCGCTTTAATTTGTTTCCGTCAAGAAAAACGTTCGGTCTGCATAAAATCAAATGGCAAAATGTCAGCGTAGCGTAATAGTTCAGACATTTTTGAGAATACGACGGCTGCCAGAAGTAGAAAGAAACCAGTTCTGACGCGCTTTGACGTCAAGCAATGAGCTAATAAGCCGCCACAGGAAGAACTTCCATGACAATCGCGTAGGGAAATAACTCTGATCTCCCAGCCACTTTAATTAATGGAAACGCGCTCACGTATGAAGTGTGCCTCAAAGTATGGTCGGAGTAGACCAATAGGAAAACAACAGTAGTAGACTGATTGACGGCTACAAATGAGCGGAAAAACTTGCGAGGCACTGAAAGCCTAAATCAATATTGATTATTCAGAATTTATGGTGGTTCTTTGAAAGACTATGCCTAATTTTCTCCATTTTGGTAATAACTTCTGCACTAGAATGCCACCATGAAAAACAATTTATTTCAGGAATATTTGGCTTGATTTGCGGGGAGAAAAAGCTTCACGCCATTTACACTTTGTATGAATTATGTCAGTGTCTGATGAAGAAAAGTCCTCGCCTATGAGGCTTCTAATATGTTATCTTCATTTTCCACTGATCGTGCAAAAGCTTTATTAAACACTCAAATTCTAACACTATGTATGAAACTTGTCTCATGAACCCAATTAAAACGGCACATGTAGCGCTAGTAACCTACAACTTAGTTTGAGAAAATCTGAGATCATAACCAGAAGAACATAGATAAAATTCCTATGAAAGCGCTTGGAATTAATATTTTTGTTTTGCCTAGTATGCCCATTTATCATAAAAAAAGCATTATTTTTCATAATTATTTTTATGTGGTGTACATAGTACCAAAAGTGTACTAATCGCTGACCCAAACCAAAATTTCTAAGTCAAGAAGAAAAGTCACAACCGCCTCAACTTTCATGTAGATTTCCCTACGGTGGGGATACCACCTGCTGTTGATATTCTTTCTTGCAGAGATCTTTTAAGCACTAATTCGTCTGCTGAATTACATGAGAATATGTTTCCCAGTATGCTCATGATGGTTTGACGAATTGGTCTTATCCGCCAACAGTAAATAATAGGATTCAGAGACGAGTTGAAAAACATTACAGTCCGTGAGTAGAAAAGTGAACTGTCTGGGTCACCTTTACGTACCACATATAAAATTATGCTACAGTACATCGGCAGATAACAAACTAAAACTAAAAGATACACATACAGTGCACTAACAGCAGATTTTCTTGGTTTTGCTGCCTGTGCTACTTGCTGTACCCGTAAGTCTGCCTGGATCTGGTTTCTGTGGCGTTTAATAGCTTGAGATAATCTCAAATTAACAATTGTCATGTAAACGAAACAAAGACTCCAAACGATTGCGACGAGAGAGAAGACTTTGTATATGTCTTTCCAAATCCAAACTAGTGAAATACCTACACTTAATATCCATATCAAGATCACTGCACCAACGACACGTTTGTGGGTTACAAGTTCCTTATATCTGAGATGAAGATGAACAGCCAGGAATCTGTCCATACTCAGAGCAATGACGCTGAGAAGTGAAGCAGTGCATAGAGCACATACAATGACCAGTATGGTGGATGTCAAGGCATGGTCTGCGGTGTTTTGCTTGGACCAAATGACAATTAGTATAATGTATAATGGTTGAGCTAACAAACCAGCAATAAGATCAGAGACTGCAAGACTCAGGAGAAGTGTTTTGAAAGGAGCCGGTAAGGATGAAGTTTTCCTCAAAGCGTGAATTGTAAAAGAGTTGAACACAATGGCGGAGAAGGATGTGAAGGCGTTCAAGACGAGATTGACGATATGCGAGACTTCCATGCTGTGCTGAAAAAGAAAAATACTTTAAGCGTTGGCATAGAGAAGTTTATGGTTAACTATCTTATGCGCCGATTTCGGGCTTATGAACGTGATACGCTTTAATGATGAACAGCTGCTCACATCTGAGATATTATGTTCATGGATTCGTTTTACATACCGGATCTAAAAATAACGTACCCTTTCAGATGCCGATACCACTTCAATTCGAAGTCCTTCATCTAAGCTTGATAGAATCAAGAACAACAGGGAGGTATTGCAATTTTATCATCGTTGATGTCTGGTAATATTTCAATGATTGATCTTCAAGAAGGGTTAATGAATGATAAGATAGATGAGGATGGTTTCTTTAATATATATATTTTTCATATGCACTTTGTTAAATAAATTCCGTATTTCCATTTTATTCAATGAGCATAGCGGTGAAAAGAAAACGGAATTTAAACTTCGGAATCAGAATCAAACTTGGACTGAAATTTTCTTAAGTCAGAAATGCATTAACTGTTTTTTTGGCAGTCTTTTTCGAGAGTTAGTGGGTAAACTTAAATCATGTGTAAAAGAGAATAATTCTCAAAATGTATAATTTTAACTAAAAATCAAATTACGCAACGTAGCCGATTGTGGTACCAGTCAATTCGATCGAGGGCGGGTTCACCTGTCCTTCTAAGAATTAGCTTTTTCCAATGAATAAACAATTGCCACACGAAACTACTTGAGAAAGCTTTGGTAAGGAGTGCTGAGAGAAAAATTGCATTTAAGCTTTAGTCAACGATTATATTTTCTTCCTTCTGTTTGCATCTCTGTATATGTGTCCAAAAATAGAGGAAGAACCTCTCAAAGTTATTTCTGCTTTAATTATTTTTTGTCAATTAATGATATTTTCAAAAAGGAACCCGAGCTGACGTTTTTGACATAATTTGTTTTTGGTTCAGGTTATTTTTCGAATTCTCCTCAGTCCAATTGTAAGTGAACAGAGTAATATTAAGACCAAACTGTGAACAGGCAATGCATTTTTATGTTTTTGTAGTACTTAAAAGGAAGGATATTCATTATCAGGATGGAATGAATCATTTCCCTTTATAAACTGTCGTTTTAAAAGATTTTTTACGGTCTTCTTGTTTAGTGAGGAAGTGAAACTAATTTAAATACATATTTATTTATGACGCTGTACTCAGTCTGCCTTGGTAAACATTCATTAAATGTTAGAACAGTGCGACAGACGACGTTTCAAAATAAAATTATGGCGGCTTAGGTTATCTTTTATCGCCTTCAATTAACTCTGAGTTAAGCAAGCAAAAAAAAGTTTCCGGTAATTTCCGAAAATTTACATATGATAAATACTTTTTATTATAGGGTTAACTCAAGACGAACTGAACGGATATCATCTCCCGTTCATGACGTTGTCAATGTCCCGTCATTGTCGCTAGCGACATAAGGTCTTCTGAGCACTACCCAGGGTGTACTTTAAATTTACTTTGCTTAGACTTTCTCGGTCCTTTTCTTGTTTAATATGATCGCGACGACGGGATAATTTATTCCTCCAAAGTGATTGTCTTCTATTTCCAGTAACAAAGAGTGTGATCTCCTTTTCATCATCGAGGCTTTTGATCGAAGCTCTATTCTGTTTTAAGAAAATAAACATAAGAACGTTCGTACTTCAAAATGGACTGATTAAATGATGTTTATATTGATCTTCATTCTAATTTTGCATATGTTGCCGGCAGTGGCGTATCGAAAGTTAATGGGTGGGAAGGGTAGGTTTTGAGTTTGATCTTCCATTAAACATGGCTTCTCATGAAAAGCATTGTTTTCGTTAATTTTCCTGGTGGGCAGTTTTGCACAATTAGAAGCCAAGCTTACCTTCTGCCGCTGCTTAGCCAGTAGAAAAAGTCCCTCTGGGCCAAGGGTGGTTGAGCGGCAAAAGCAAGAGCCTGGGCTGCAGAGGGGGTGGAATCGACAAGGAGGTGCGGGTTTGTTTTGCCAATTCTTAACAGAAATAGTTTTTAAAGATGCGAACCATTAATAAAACATAACAAGAACAAAAGCAAAGGATAGACAGAAAAAATAACGAAACAAATTAACAAACAGGTGTGTCCTTAGGAAAGTTGAATTTTCTGCTTTGAGCGAATCTGAACCTCAGAGATCAGGAGTTTCCTCTTTTATTAGAAGAAAATTATTTCATCTCAAAATTACCAGATATCATGGCAAAAATTTCAGGTGTATTCATGATAGCTTTCCTAAACAGCTTATCGTAGCTATGGTTACAAAGCACGCTAAGGGTCTCATGTCGAAATGACAAATAACTATTTTTCAAGTTAAAAACTCCAAAGCTTAAATTATCTCCAAACAGTATGTCCAGGGGAATAAGATGCGAAGAGTCGGTTAACTCATTCAAATTTGTTCAACGAATCGAAAAATCAGCCACGAAACCGGATACATAAAATGAATTTAAGGCTAAATAGTGCAGCTGTAAAATTTGCAATAGAAGTGAGACATATAATTATGTCGATCTTCGTCAGTTGAGAATCTTCCAGAAATAAATTGATGTACATTTAGTATTCGGAAAAAACCGGTGAGCTAATGGGGTCTAACTTTCACCAAGCTGTTTTATCAAAAAGCGATAAAAAACTTTTTAGTTTCGTGATGATTCAGATTTTTACATAATCGAAGCCAAAAAAACTCTTCAATAAATAAAACAGGCAGTATCCGGTTCTTGGGTCTACTCATTTCCTTTTTTCCAATAACTGCTGTGAAAACTACGACAAGTGTGTATTGAATGTCATTTGGATTCGTCTGGGAAGAAAGGGCTGGAGAATTGATACTGGATCTTTATTTGTTTAAAGACTTATAAACTTCGAGTGTAGAACCACCTATTAAAACCAAATTCACAACAACAAAAAAAAAACCAAATTCACAACAACAACAAAAAAACACACACACTTGAAACATAATAGCTTCCACTCGAGGAGAAGAAAAAGCATTTTGAAAAAATAGAATTTCTGATTTCCCTGAAGTCATTTCGTCGGGGAGTTGTCGGCAACTCCTCTGAAAGCAACTAAAAGGTCAATTCAAATTTAATTAGATGTTTGTAGGCTTAGCCACGACGCTGTATCAGTCCGTGTATTTTTATCATCTATAATAACTTAAACAGCCATGAAAAATTTGAACGTTTCCTTGTTATTTTGTAAAAGCTCTCCTATAGATTTTAGTGCAAGACAACGTAGACAGCTGAAGCGCTTTCATTCATTTTTGAAATTCAAATTCAAATTATCACCATGCTTAACATTTATGTTCAAACTATATCGACCTTGGCTTTGAAGATATGTACAATAGTAACCAATACGTTATGATATATACCTTTCCATGGGTGCATTTAATTTAGAATTTCATAAATACAAAGCACTTATTTTCTGTGGCAATGTCATTAGCAGCGAGCAATTGAAATATTCTCCTTCAGGCCGGCTCCCTACTTTGTTGTTGTCCTTATTATTTAAGATCAATTTCGAGTATTACAAATGGATCATCATATTACTACTTAATGCAGGCTGTTAACTAAAATAGTTGTTAGGTTGTGTTATTGTATCCACTCTTATAATAACTTTCAGGTGCAACAGTAACAAAGGTTTAACTTGTTGTCACGCTATGTTGCTTACTTTCTGCACGGATGCGTATTTCTGAGAATGTTAATGATGGTGTGTCGAATGTGTCTCATACTCCAACAATAAATAACCGGGTTTAAAGATGAATTCACACACACAAGAGTCCAACTGTATAACCTAAAGGTTTTTAAAGAATCAGAAAGCTCGCCATGGCTAACAACCATATTAGTGCAGTATTCAGGCAAATAACAGACTAAAAACACAAGATAAACGTAAAATGTGCTAATGGCAGTTTTCCTCATCCTTGCAGTATGCTCCATGTCACCGATATTCTGCTCGGTTCGCCGTACTCGCAAGGACTGTATTTCCCTCAAGTGGCGTTGTACAGCGAAATAAATCCTGCAGTAAACTAATCCTGTGCAAATAAAACAGAACCCTAAAACTACAGGAAAAAAATCTAGAAGGAAAAGAGGCAACCAAAAATGGCCGGTTACTGCAAGAAATACACTAAGCATCCAGATTGATATCACGGCCAAAACAGTGCGTCTCTGAGTGACAAGTTCTTGATATCTGAGATGAAGATGTACAGCCAGGAATCTGTCCACGCTGAGGACAAAAACACTGAGAAATGAAACAATGGAAAATGTTTCCGCCATGGCATACATGGCATTATCCATTGATTTGTCAACAGGATCGGCGCCTTTCAGCTCTATAACTAAAAGCACAACGTAATAAGGTTGTACAAAAATGCCGACACCCAGATCTGAGACAGCAAGACTCAGCAATAATGTTCTCAGCGGCCTCGGCAGAGACGATGTTTTTCTCATCGCGTAAATTGTTATGATGTTCAACGCGATGGCGGTGTAGGATAAAGATGCGTTGAGCACACAATTGGTGACCATTGATGAATGATACAGGTCCTCAGTGCTTGTCATTGTTTAGGACACAAACGGAGACCGAGCAGCTTTACAGATAATGCGAGGCTTGTCGATCAGGATACTAACAGGGTTGATCGTTGGACAAAATATTAACCTCTCAAGAACCAAAGCATCTTTAAATTATCTGTGACTCCCCGGTGCTCTCGACTGACGAATTTGACGTTAATTGCCATCTACCAAACCATATTTTGGCTACCTCCCATGATCCTGCAAACATAAAATTGAGAAAACCTTTTCAGGGTATATTTTCAGTGTATGATGTATTTTGTTTTACCATTACAAAGCAAGAGGAAAGGCCAATTGATAAAGTCTTTCTTTTATGCATTTAGATTCTGTATTTCTCGCTTGTCTTTGTTTTTTTTATAAACATCAGAGGGTGAAATAAATATCGAATTGGCTTTTGAATTTACATAGAAATGTCAACAAAGTTTGAATTAATCTGATTTACCCGGATTCATATGGAAAATATTTCTTTCATCTCTTTCGCGGAAGCGTTTCTTCAAGTTTAATTTCCATTGAAACCCTATTCTATATTTCAACAATTTTGAACAATCACTATACGTGATAAATTTACAGAAAACCGATGGCAGTTTCAAGGCGGATTCATTGACTGTAATGATCAGATGGCCTATGCTAATTAGTTATGCCACGTTTATTCCAAGTTAGAGCACAATACGAAATCAATCAGACAACAAGGGTGTCTTTGTCCTGTTCCTCTAAATTGATCGTATGAAAGCTTTTTCAACTTCAATGATGTCCTTGATAATAGTTTGATCGCGCATAAATATTATTTCCGTGGAGATGAACTTGGAGATATTCTGACTGATGGCTTAAATGTTTTGATATGTAAAGTCAGATGTAACTCAGTTTTTATTGATCTCCACAGTGAAGTGTTTTGTGATTAAACGTTGGTTTGGGCTGCTGGCCTTTCAAGGTTCCTGAAAAAGATAACTCAGGAAGTTTATTTGATTCCAAGGCAGTTGAGGAAGTTTCTAAGGAGCCTTTAAGGAGTACGCAAGACTACGTGTTATGTTAAACGTCACTCTTTTGTTTTAACAAATAGTAATCGCTGTTTTCTTACAAAATAGAAGATTGATATCGTTTACTTGTAGCTTTGGAGCTTCTGAATTGTTTTCCTCTCAACAGGCCTCAATTAATATCTGCAAATATGAATCAATGGTGCAATTAAAGCAAAAAAATTAAATTTACAAGCAACCTTTCAACGTCCTCAAGATATTATAATATTTTTAATTTCAATTTACACGAGGAAAAAAATAAATTGACCATCTTCGCAGGTACAAATGTCTGGATCAATAAACGCTTTTTTCTAAGTGATCGAGAAAGTGCAATTTATTGAATCCTGCTGTTTCTAATAGACCAGAAAAGTAGGCGGGGTTTTCTAATTTTGTCTTTGTTAGAGAATTGCTAGCGCATCCAAGCTTAAAAAGAGAAATCAATCTTCAAAAATTCACAAATGTTTAAACGATATGCAATTATAAAACGCCGACCAATGTCGTTTATTTGTTTGTTGGAGATGAACCCAAGGATCGAAATTTCAATGGACTCCTGTTCAGCGATTGATAAACAATCAGTCATTTCATTTCACATCTCGGAACATCAAAGAAGACCTTAACGGGAGTATTAGCATAACAGAAAACCCCACAATTAATAAATTTTGCCTTAAACAGCGTGTATTGAGTTTCAAGCCTTGAACCATGCCCAAATTCTGCCGAAACTGCTCTTATCTTCTGGCTTTGTTTCATTAAAACCCTCAAAGCTTTGAGAGGTTCCATGTTTTAATTGCCAGATGATTCCGGCTTCTTAAAAGCAGAATCTCTTTTCAGTGTAATAAACTGTCGACTGGATTCTTAAAAAAAATCGATAACATGATATGCTTAACCCTTTCAATGCGTTTCTCGTACAGATGGCTGTTTTTTTCTTCCTTTTCTTCTTTTGCTTGTGATGTTTGCAAGCAACTTTCTGATCTACAGCATTGAAAATGAAGGTTTACCTGTGAGTATCAACCACTGGTCAGTTCGTCGCTGTCAGAATTATTAATTATAATGGTTCTCTGATCGATCAGCCGGGCCAGTTGTATTTAAATGAGAACGTGACACTTCCCCGTGTTTTTTCCGATTAGTGGGATGACAAATTCCGAAGGTTATTCTACAAGTAGAAGGTTAAAGAGTAGTAGATTACAAATTGTAAAAGGAAATACGGAAATGCATTAATTAGTTATAGGGAGTAGCTCAATATGATAATCACAAGGATTTATGATCTATTGGCTCTCCAACTAAAGTTATAAGATGAATACGAGGTACAAAGGCAAAAACTTCGTAAAAAATGATATTAACCATCAAAGATATGATTAATGCTCCTTAGGTAATATGATTTGAAATGAGTATGAGAAATTTTAGCTCAATAAATACAAAACTAACCATTAATGCATAGGATAATGTCATTGTTAGCTGGCAAAGCTTCTAAACGAATGGAATGTCCAAGTTTTGTATCTAAATTTTTCTTAATCTTGGCAAGTAGTAACTTCCTGACGCTTTTACTCTCTCGATTGAACTTTGGACAAAAATCACTTGTAAGTATACATCATAAAAAAGGAAATTATTTGTCTCTTGTTTCTTTACCCATACATGTGACCCTTAGGGAAGTAAAAATAGTTTCAAACAAAGCTGTTGTGTTATCTAACCATTCGAATGATATCACGGAAGTTTGGGCGATTGTGGTTTTCCCCGCCCATCAGTATTTTCCTTCGTTATGTTTATATAATGTCTGAAAGGTTATTACCTTTCAGTTTTCACCGTGGCCATCGTGGGAAAGTTAAAAAGGAGTCATTTATTGTATAAGTATATGGTAATAGTGAAAAGTTGTAAATAAACTTTAGTACGAACTGAGTATGACTCTTTTACAACCAATACAAAGTAAGGACGATAAAACGCTAAATTTTGGCAAAGCTTGTTATCAAGCTCGGTTGTCATAGGAACATTAGTTATACTGTATAACTAAAAACGCTTACCTTTCAAACTTGGTTCCAAATTTAAGAAATTGTTAAGACGTTTGGGAAGACCGATGAGAGGGTCTCATGATTTTGATATCAACGATTTAAAGTTTGTAATTTATTCGGGTTTTAAAAATTTCGGGTCGTAAGTTTTCAACTTGGACCGTCTGGCAGCATCTGAATTAGAATATAATTAACTTGGCTAGAAAACGGATAAAATGAGGTAAACAGGTTCTAGTTTTCCACCAATAGTATGTCACCTTTAATAGGAAGGCTTATCATGTCTATTGACAAGCTGTCTGTCAAATTCAACGCCCACTCAATTTCCGTAAACTCTCGAAATTATTAGATTGTTTATAACGCCACTGGCAAAAACAATGTACTACAGATATTTCTAAGTCACATAAATTTCCCTTTAATACAAGCTGCAAAGCTATCTTTCAGGGCCGATGAAGTATTGTTGGAAGATGAATATTGTGTACTTTTGAAGTGTTATCTCTGAAAGAATAGATACTAGTTTTCAATTAATTTAAAAATTAATCGCTCCAAGACTCTCCTTGGCATTTTTAATAAAGCTACAATTTTCAATTGGAAGTATTTTGAAGGCCTAATTATCAATATTATTGTTACCAAACGATCATGACCGTGTCTGTTGACCAGCGTTTGACACTTAGAAATTTCCGCTATGCATTTCACTGTTTTTAGTTGACTGCCCTCCAACAGATCATAGTATGTATTCATACAGCTAATTTCTCCCTTCTTCAGCAGTCTTCTAGAGGGTGTAAACTTAAATATTAGTTGTTCTAATGTTGAAATGTCATAATCATCCAGTGAGAGGCATTTATTGTATTCGAAACTTTAACATTTTTTTCCACCACTAGTCCATGATAGAAAAAAGCTTTTTCCTTCACTAAATAGCAGTTCAAAACATCGATAAGGGACTCCTCTAATCAAGTACATAGGGACTGTATTTCTATTTTTAGTGCCAAAAATCCCGATATGAGGTCTTAAATCAGTTTCAATACGACGTACTGCATCCGCATTAGACTATGTCACAAACAATATTACTGACCTGAGGCAGACAACACCAGTGAGCAGTGGGTGGGAATGTTACTAAGATTTTGACTAAGATTTTCAAGAACGTTATCGGAATCGACTGCTGATAAGAAATCGCTTAAAGTGCGGTTTGAGTGACAAGCTATAGAAAGGTTAAAATCGAACTTGAACTATTTAACAAATAGAGCCAATATTTCGGCATATTTTTAAATAAAAACTTTCCAGAATAAGTTCTGTCCAAGTTTTTTTATATGTTACGTGCTCGGCAAAAATTTTCAACTAGATTTGTAAGTTTTTTTTTGTGTGATGAGGCCATGTGTTCCACTGGGGGACCCTCAAGGGGTGACGTATGACGTGAACAGCTGTTTTTATTGTTTTACAATATATGATTTTTATAAACTGATAAGTCACTCGGAAATTGATTCAAACGAACGAAACGAAAGAAAAAGCGAGCCTATTTTTTTACTTTGAAATAGGAATATGGCACGTGAAGAGCCATAGATTACGATGGAGCAACTCTTGTCTAGCATGGTTACTGTAACTTACACGTGTTGATTTCGTATAACGCTGCAAGGTCATTTGTGCAGCAAATACGCATAGTGATTATGTGGGAGTATTAAAAAGTTAAATACATATTCATTTATACACATGTGAATCTTCATGACTCGGTTTAGTTTTCATCGAAATACATACACTTTATCTTCTCCTGTACTAAAACAATTATTCACATCTACTTCGGTGAACAATTGATAACTAGTTCCAGTCAACGTCAAAAAAGATATCATTTCTCTTTTTTTTTTTATATTTTATTCAGTGAAATCATTCTTTTATCAGCTTGTTCCGAAATGTTGGTTTATTTCGCTCATTAGCCTACTACCCTTCCCCCCACAGGGTAAAAGGCTCGGTCTTTGTGATATTACTGCAACTTCATGTTGCACAGAAAATCATTTTATTACTTATTAATAATTTACATAAAAAAGTATCACAGAAAGTCAAGAAAGACGAAATTTCAACAGCGCTATCAGATCAGTAATCAGAAGTGCATAATTTTTTATGTGTATAATTTCACCATGACTTCGACTGACTTTGTATCAGTACGACACAGAAACCAAAATATTAGTTTATTTCTGTCAATATACCAAAACGTGTCGGAAATTGAACTCTTGACGCGCGACTTTGTCTCATCTGCTGCTCGTGTCGACTCGTCGGTGAATAATACTTGCCATTCATTTCCCAACAAGCCAATCAGCGCGCGCGAGAAGCTCTATTTACCTGTTTGGTGTATTAAAATTAACGTCTCAATTCAACAAAATCAACGAAGTTTTATCTCAGTTCCACTTCACTGGATCGACATGTAACTCGTCAGATTATTATTTTCACCCGGTTTTTGTGTATATAACTAACAGAAAAGTTAATACATCGGCGGGTGATCAACTCACAACTGGATAAACTTCATAAAGTGTTCACAAACTTTAAATTTTAAAAAATCTAGAAGTCATTACTTCACTTTCTCTTGGTGAAATATTTCCACATTTCATCAGCTATGATCATGAACCCCAAAGACATTCCGATATATATTTCGAAGTATGCCCACGATACTATGTCGAATGTGTTTCACCCTCCAGCAGTAAATAACAGGATTAAAAGAAGAATTTGCAAACACAAGAGTAAAAGTAAACAAATCAAAACCGTCTAAAAATAAGTTTGGTTGACTCTGTAACACATTCAGGATAGCACTACAATAATCTGGCAGGTAACAAATCATAAATACAACATATATATAGAAAGTACTAATGGTAGATTTCTTCAGCCTCAAGAAATTCTTCATTTCGTCATTTTGATTCTGAAAAGCTTGCCCTAAGTGCAAAGCTTGCATTTGAATTTCAAGGCGTCGCACAGTACGATAAATTCTGAAATAAAAAAGTGTCACACAAACAAAACAAAATCCGAAAATAGTAATTTCCAGTAGGTCGATTACAAAGTCGCTCGGTAACCACAACAAAATTAAAGAAAGAAATGTGCTCAAAAGCCAAACTGAGATGACCAGACCAACGACACGTTTGTGAGTCACAAGTTCTTGATATCTGAGATGAAGATGAACAGACAGGAATCTGTCTAAACTTAGAGCCATGAGACCCAGAAACGAAGCGTAATAAAATAAACTGGTGATCACGTCGAAGATGTTATTAAGGAGGTTGTCCTCCACTTCATTGATCCACTTAAACAGAACTGCAATATAAAGAGGTTGAGCCAGCAAACCAACACCAAGATCAGAAACAGCAAGACTCTGCAGTAATATTCTTAACGGCTTTGGTAACGACGATGTTCTTCTCAGCGCTTGGATTGTTAAACTGTTCAACATTATGGCTGAGTAGGACGAGAAGGCGTTTAGAACGCAATTGGAAACGTAAGATGAATACAGTGGGTCTTCAAATTCTGTCATCACTTAATGGAGTTATTTCAATTGCTAAATTTAATTCTTGCTGCTTTGTCCTTCAAATAATGAAAGTTTCCTTTCCCTCGCGGCTGATACAAATTTGCATTGGAACCAAACTTATTTTCATCACAACTACGTGGGGTGCCTATTGTCTGCTTACGACAGGAAAAAATATAAGCGAAACTTTTCAAGAGTCCTAGGGGAAAATAAAATTCGCCGTAATCGGTTAGTTACCTCTGTCAATTTGGGGTAAATTACTGATTTCTGATTGGTTTAAGCAGAGGTCGATTTGGTTAGGGGGAATAACCATTTCCAAAAGTAATAAAAGCTTTTTGTAAATCATTTACGACTCGTCGCGTATTTATCATATTAACTAAACTCTTTTTGTCTTCATGGAAACTTGTTTACTACGTACATTACTTCTTTAAGATTTGTGGTAATGCATCGATGAGCTGTTGGAAATGCGGGAAGTTGACACATCATCCAGGTCTCAAGCGTTTTTTTCGCTCACAATCTCGAGGAACAAGACAGAACTCATGTGTTTATAACCCTGAAGATCATTTGCCATGTTTAACATTCGTTCGCGCAGAATGATTAGCGATGTGCCCCAGGCTCTTTTCACTTTCTACTTTCTGCGGACGATTTTTCATGGAGCAAATATTTAACCAACCAGAAAGAAAAACATCAAGATAAAGATAAGTTTATGGTCAGCCGTACTTATCTTAGAAATTTATCTCTCCTATAGAAGGAAAATTAGCCATATGTGCCTAGAAAAATGGTATGAAAAGTACTAAAAAACGTTTCGATTATGAAAACCATATTGTTATGTTTCTAGTTCATCAAGCAATATCCATATGTTAATGCAGTCGCCTGCTGTTATTTGCAGCAGAACGAGGCCGAGTTAATTAGGAGAGGCAAACGGCGGTAAATTTAGAACAAGCTTTCGTCTCCGGGCCGATTATCTCAGCATTTTAGAACCCATTTCCACCTGAATCCACTTTCTAAGTACAGCGTGTCTATCAGAATCAAAGGTTTCAGAACTCAACGATGAATGACAGAGGTGGTACTTAAGTTGTGTCATTGTAAAGCTGTAATATTAGAGGAAATGTAAACTGACGTCAGTCTTATACTATGCAGTCATAGACCAGTAACAAGTAAATACCTTTCTGATACCTTCCTGTAATGGTGGACAACCGCACTGTCAAACAGTTCATGAATAAAAGCGAAAAGAATAAAACAGTTGCATTTTCGTACAAATAAAAAACCATATTACTGTGGGCGTTGATTTCGTATGTCAATTTATTTTGAAAGTAGCAATCATAGACCTTTGAAAAAATAATTATATCCAATTAGATACCAAGTCTTTCCTGTATTTTTGGCAAAACTTTAAATAAAAAACATAAATTACCACATTTTATCATAGCTTTTAAAGATTAATTTTCATCATTGTTACTTACATATTTACACAGTTTAAAAGTAATATACTCTTCCGTATGAAATAATTTCGCTTGGGTTCACATTAGAAAATAAGGTTACTCTTATTTTCCTGAACTACTATTTAGGTCTGCCCACACGCTTTAAAATCTCCATTTAATCATCCCCGCTTGATAATTATTCCCTCTTTTCTTGATGAGAAACTTTGTCTCAGCTTGTTTGACTTTCACCCATTTTCCCGTTTTTGACACATTTTGATTCAGTTGCGACTTGAGAGCTCTTCTGCTGGGAACAACTCACTCTGTGGAAAATAAAATACAACGGTTCTAAGAATTAATTGAAATTGTTACGAACTGATAAGTTCTTTGTTTCCAACAGTAAAGAGTAGTTAAAATCGTTATCAAAAAGACCTCTTTGACAATTTTTTAGTAGAGCCCGACATGACAAACGCTATTTTGAATTGTGTTGATCACTTCATGTACTCAGGGAGAAATTTCCGCCTTTGCTCCGCCCCTAGATATATGAATAGAAGAAAATAGCAAGACTTTGGGGACAGAGCCAAACTCTGTAGGAGAGGCATGGGATACGCGCTTAATCCGCGTTTAATACATAAATCAATCAGCACGAGTAAGTGAAT